AAACATCAGAATTAGACTTTGGAATGGGGAGGGGCAAACTTTTTTGGTCGCAGGCTAAAAATAAGAAGAAAAAAATTTGGCGAGCCAAGATAAATTTTTCTAAAATTTTAAAAACAATATACAAGTATTATAATTCAAATATGTTAATGAGATTGTAATGATTATCTTAATTTATCTAACAATTAAATTTTGAGTTAAAGGTTAAAGTTACTTTCCTGTCTCTTCTTAATTTCAAGCTTACAACTTCTGGCCAGAACGTATTTTTTTTATCTTGTTTGAATGCAAATGAGGAGAAGTATTTAAATATGAAGTTCTACTAACTTTGTTAAATAGCTAGAGACTAGCTCGCATTCATCTTTTCAGGCTACTCTCTCTCTTAAGCTATTAATTACGCTTGGCCGCACTTTAGGTCCTTGATAGCTTCGCCGTTATTAGCGTTAAGGAGCCAACTCTGTTAGAATCTTGATAGCTTCGGCTATATCTTTTTAGTTAAGATTAGTTAAGTTTTGGTTCTTAGTTTCCTAAGTTCAAGCCCAAGTGGAGGCTTTATTGTAACTTCAAGAAAAGAGTCGTCTGGTAAAACTTTATTGGAATAATAAAGGGCAATTTCACCCTTCTTACGTTTTGTTCTCTGTATCACGAACTCAATCGATTATTCACTTACCAGTTCTTAAGATTTCTCAACTTTACATTAAAACACTTAGGAATCTTACAAGATGAATTAACTTCCTATTTTATTTTTAAAAGTTCCTTATATTGAGGTTCGAAGTGAGAAGTACTGATTCCAAGGAACAAGGTTAAATGCTCATCTGTCAGTCTATTTCTGAAATAATTCTTTCTAAGGTTCACAGGTGGAAACGCTTGTTCACATATATAAAATAAAAAAACATAGCACTGATTTTCTGGGCATGAAAAATTGAATTTGGGAAACTTACTTTCGATAATGATTTGTAAAACTCTAACTTTGGCATATTTAGGAACAGCTGCTTGATGATAGTTAGATTGCAAATCTGACCTCGCTGCTTCACAATTTACGTTGAAATGCATGGTAAAAATATCCAGTTCTGTTTGAATGGCACCGAAATCTTGAAATCTGTGTTCGAACTCAAGATGCGGTTTTTTTCATTCCATAATCATAATTCTTAAGCTTCTCTTCATTTACTGAGGGTACTGAATTTAAGCTGAGGAAGTGAGATAAGTACCTGCCCAGCAAACAGATTTAAGTTTTAGTTTAAAAACTTTGAGATGAGCCCATATATCGTCGATAAATTGATTTTTCCCTTGCATCTTGACATTCAAGTTTATTCATATAACAAAGAAGCTCTTTGAAAAATGCAAAGTCTAAAAGCCATGCTGTATCTTCTAACATTTCGCACTCTTCAGAACACTTGTTTCTCATGGAAGAACAACACAATGTCATCTTTTCAATGTCTGCCAAACTCACTCAAAAACACATCCTGCACTAAGCCATCTTACTTTTGTGTAATACAGTACATCAGAGTATTTAAATTGCACAGACTGAAGAAAATATCGAAATTTGCATGTGAGTAAGCCTAGAGATCGAATAGTATTTACAAGCTTCGCGACTGCATCAAACTCAGGTTTCATGTTCCATGCAGATTTACACAGAGCATCTTGATATTTGACACAATGTAGAAAAATAACATTGTTCCCGCAATGGTTTTTATTAAAAAGTCCAAGAAATCCAGATTTTTTTTCCCTGTCATATTTGGTGCTCCATCGATCATAATATTGCATATATTTGTTATAGGCACTTTCAAAGTTTAAAGCCCTTCCTGAAATTCACAAATATCACATCTTGTTGTAGTTCCCTTTAAAGAATGCAACTTTTTTTTGTTACACAACCTTCTTTTTCTGTCGCTTGTCTGGCATATCTATTCGTCTCTTCTACTATAGTGTCCCAAAAATCTTTATTCAAAACCTCTTTCAAAACATCTATTGGCGTAAGGTTACCACCAGGTCTACGCAGGCTCAAATGATTAATTCCGGATATTTCAGAAAATTTTTTTATATCAGCTACATTTTCTTCTTCTTCTCAAATCCGTTCGTCTGATACTGGTTCACGAGAAGATTCACTATCACTGCTCGATAGACGTCTTGTGCGTCTTCGAAACCTTGGTTTTGTATTAAAATTGTCATCATTTTCTGGTTCATGAGAAGATTCACTATCACTGCTCGATCTACATCTTGTACATCTTCGAAACCTTCATATTATATTACAATTGCCATCACTTTCTAGTTCAATATCGTCTTCATCACCTTCGCTTTGTATTTCATTATAATTGTCAATTTCAGAATCACTAAACAAATTCTTCTTTAGATTTCTCAAAGTCACTTTTGCTATCACTATCATAAAATATATTCGTTATTTTTGGCATAATGGGGCAGTGTATCGCAAATAATGTTAACCGAAATACTGCAACTGCCTCTTCTATTATGACTGACACAAGCTACAATGAAATAAATAGAATTGTGCCTAACCTCAAATAACATTTTAGACATGTCATCTGCTCCTAGGGAAAACAAATCAATGACGTCTCTCGGACGCCAAATGTATCCAAGAGTTTAATTTTTGGTTTGACATCTTAGACACGTCATCCGCCCCTAGGGGAAAAAAGTGAATGATGTGTCTCAGACGTCAAATGTACTCAAGGGGTTAAAGTGAAAACACCGCTTCCTGCAGACCACCCAGTGGCCAGGTTTTCATTACAGAACGGGAAAACAATTTCACGATTACTAGAGCATACACAGACAAGAAAAATGTCCTATTCTTTACCTCTTATCGCATATTTTCGATGCCAGTTTCGCAGCCCAACCCCTATTTAATGAAGAATGAAGATAGCACCAGCAAGATGTAGCTGCAGGCATGAAAAAAGGTAGAAGTCCGAAGAAGCGATGTCAGGGAGGGTATGGCAAAAGATCCCATTCAAGTCCAGCAGGTGAATGCAGACACATGCAGTCTTGCATTATCTTGATGGAACATTACTTTTTTGTCCTAGAACTCAGTTTGACGGTTTTCCGTGATAGCAGCGTCAATGCAGACTAGCATCTTTCTATACACCTTACTGTCAAGGGTTTTTACCTTTCTCCTAATGCTCTTTGTGGATAATACTACAGCAATCTGACCAGATGACATGCAAGTGTGGATGTGACATTCCTGAGGTAATCTAGCCCTTCAAGAGATCATCCTCTTGGTGAGATGAGGATCAGATCAAGGGGCCTAGTGATCTTTCCTCTTTTCCTTTTCCCCTTTTGTTTCCCTCCCTTGTAGTCTTTCTTTTCTAAGGCTGGGTCTCGTAATAAGATGCTGTTACAGCCCTTTGTTTCTAGTTTCTCACGGAGAGAAAATCGCCTACAATTTTGCTGTGTATGGTGATCCGTATGGCTGGAAAAAAGGTACCTGGTAGTTCAGGGCAAGGTACTATCCCCAACATACTTCTTTGGCCTCTGATTCAATCAAAACAGAAGGCAGTTGGCTAGTCACTAGTCCTTGTGTTGGTAGCTTTGGGTTAAGCTTTTTGGATGCCATCTGTGGGACATCAGTTTGTGTATAGACCCAGTTAGCCCAGGTGCAGGAATCTGCATCCTCTTTGTTGGACTCTGTAGTGGGTGGGGCTGCTGAGTCTAAATTTCTTTTCATTGTGGCTACTTTGAACCTTGCATCCCAGAAAATAATGCAAACTTAACAGTTCAGCAACAAAATCCTTGACTGATAACGAAGAGCGACTTTATCTAACTTTTTGGAAACTCTTTTCTCTTGTATTCCAGAAGTAACAGAAATACGCAAAACTTGCTGAAATTCAAAATTCAGTCATCTGATTTCAACTTTGGATTAGGATTTCATTTCTGAGAAATTCTAACTGAAGTAGTATTGAGGAACAGACATAAATTAAGGAAATTTGCAACACAACAAAATTATTGCGCTAGCTATAACATTTCCTAGTTTTGCTTTTCAGTTTTTAAACGGAGTGATTTAAAAATATTAAAATCTGCAAATGCTAATAAGGAGAATGAAAGAAAATTGCTACCTTGTTTTCTCATTATATCACAGCAGGCATAATTTTAAAAGATGTCACCCTTTTTCATACACAAACTTGCAGTCCTGTTCAGTGAGCCAAAATATTTGAAGTTTCATACGCTAATGCTGCAGAAACATTTAATATGATTGGAATGCAAACCAATCTTAAATATTCACTGTAAAAAATATAATAATAATGAATTCTAAAATACTACTAAAATCAAAATAATAGAATTTAATATGGTTAAGAACAAAGTGAAACTAATGCAGCTCGGTGCAAATTAACAGAAATAATAAATGCCAGTAATTAGTACCAAACAAAATCAGCATAATATAATGAAATTATCTAAGAGTCCTTCTGAAAAACCTAGGAGTCAAAATCGCAGCTCACTTGAAAGTTTGAAGTTCTGGTGATATGGAAGTTGAAGTGGAACTCAAACTTCCAAAAAGTCTCCTTCTGCACCTGACAATGAAGCAGTATCGGCAAAATAAACGTTCCTAATGGCCACTAAATTCATTTTGCATTTCAGTGAAGCTGAAAACATCTTGTTATGTTAAGGAATCATTGTCAAAATCAAAGCATTTTTGATTTACTGCATTTTTAAAAATAATAGATATGAAGAACTAGTAAGCTTTATGTACAGGTAAAATTTCTTGCATAGATGTAATATATATGTAATGTAATCTGTAAATGAAATAAGTTATTGAAATGCAAAATTATTGATTGTTTGTTCCATTGTATTTTCTCAGGACTTGAGTAGAGAAGTAAATAGAAATACAAATGTGCACTTTATTTGAACAAAATATTATAATTTCAAGTATGGGGGGGAGAGGAATTTTAGAGCACAAAGTTGTATTCTCTGATTTTTTATTTGTATTTATATATCTTATTTTGAAGTTATTCTGTTCTTTATATTATAATCTATATATGTTTTAATAAACAAGACAAATGGATCTACAGGAATCTACCGCGATTGGTTCCTATCATACTTTCAATGGATTTGATCACTCTCTAGAGCCTTCACCACCCCACTGTTCATTCAGCACAACAGAGAAATCCTGTGATGATAAAGTCAGCATAGCAGGTAACATTATTCATTTGATTTTATATTTATTTTTTCATATATTTCAGGTTTATACTTAATTCATTTATGGGCTGCAAATGTTTGAGGACTTGAAAAGGTAAGGTATGCAAAATATTTAGCAAGTGGAGTATATGGGTTGAAGATCTTTTTGGCATTGATATTCTGATATTGTATTGTATCCTTGTGAAAGTCTTTGCAGAATTTTAGATAAATAAAAATTTCCTTTCTTATATTATGATATAAAGAAACTTTTCTCGGGTGTACTGTTTTGAAAGCTTCAACCGTAGCCCATATTTCAGGCAGTAAGTGCATTCTGTGATTGTTCTTTTGAAGCAATTCATTTATGTAGCCAGTTTTTGATGTCTTCATAAGAATGGAAGCAAGGCCATGCTGTGCACAGACTGGTACAAATGGGTAATAAGGAGGAGCAACATCAAATGAGTATAGTGGGTAAGATAACACTTCCCAGCTAAAACTTCCAGTGTTTCTTTGGTAGGCTTTTGCAATATATAGCCTGGCATTGTCATGCCGAAAATTAAACTTGCCATGGCTTTTGACATATTTTGAACATTTTTGCCTTAATGTTCAGCTTAAATTCTTCAGTTAATATTAGTGACATTCAGCATTGATGAGCTGATTAAATTGCAGAATTTATAATAGACTACATCCTTCTGGCCCAAAAGATATACAGCATAACTGTGCTTTCTTAAATATTCTGTTTTGGCACAGGTGAATCTGTTCATCTAGTTTTATGTCTTTTTTTTTTTTTTTTTTTTTTTTTTTGATTATTATTGCGAATCCGTTTTTCATCACCGATACATCTCGATTTAAACATCCTTTTCATTTTTGGTCCTTAAAGTTAAGTTTCTTATGCGATTAGTCATTTCACAGTGTCTTCTCCCCCTTCCCCACTTTCAGTTCTTGTAAGCTCCAATTTCCTTAATTCTAAATCATTACTTTTGCTTTCAAATATCATCTAACATAGAATTGATGAATATTCAACGTTTCAATAATAAATGCTAAATTTTAAGTTTGACTTTTTTTTTTTTAAATTCTTCATCTTCAAATATTTTCAGTCTACCAAAAAAGAATCCTTTGCCTTCCACGTTCATTTTTTTAGTTGAAACTAATCTCTAAAACTTCTTTCAATTGGAATGTGTCCATGATAACCTTTCACAAGCAAATGATGACTTTTAGTTTTATTTCGTACATAAAATAAGGAAATAAAACTTTTTTAAGCAAGAAATAAATATTATACTAAACTTTAAAGCTTGTTTAGCATACTTTTTATAAATATGGTTGCCACTGTAAACTACATGAAAGTAATTCTATTCACATCTGTTAAGAAAATGAGAAGACTGTTACAAGGACTCAATACATGCATGACTGACTATAAGGCTCCAAGAAATAAAAATGTATGATTTTTTTCCTTGAATCTAAGTAATTGTTGATTTTAACAAAGTACTGTCCTGGAAGCATATTTCCATTTTTTCCTTTATTTTGGTGATAATGATTAAAATTTTAATCAATTAAATAAATACATTGTTAGAGTAACTTTAATCAGAATACTGGGAGAGGGGATGTGTAAATTAGATGCTGTATCTAATTTGTAGCATTAGTTTTTCTTCTCTGAACTTGCTATGTGCAACAAATTAATGTTTTGTATTCTGTGTGGTTTCTTTTTGCATTTTTTGGTTATTTTATATTTACAAAGTTAAAAGCGATAGAGTTGAAAATTCACAATCAGCAATGATCTTCAGTTAGATTAAATCATGGAATGATAAAACAAAATCTAGTTCATTTTTGTAAAATTCGTTTTCCTGTTGTTCGAGGAGGTATAACTTCCATTGCTTATGGATACTGAAATATTAAAAATCTTTGTATAGAAAAAAAATACATAAGGTATGAGTATTAAAGTGAGTAATTTCATATTTTCTCTGCAATATTATAAAATCTTTTGAGGCTTTTGTGAATGATTATTTAGAATTTGAGATATTTAAGTTTAAAAAAAGGTTTTTTTTTTTTTTTTTTTTTTTTTTTTTTTTTTTTTTCAAATTGTTCATTATTCTTCTATTAGCATATAGCACCTTTCCAGGGTAGGCCGTAGCCTTCTTTAAAATCTTAATAATTTTTTGTCCTCTTTCAATTTGGCTATAGTTTACCAGTTGGTAATTTTAATAATGTTAAAGTCAGTATTGATACAGTCCAATCATGGAAGCCTGAGCCTTTTTCCAAGTCATTTTATCATTGATTTGTAGTTTTCAAACTGTTCATGCTCTTTATAAAATCCTTCCTTCCATTCTCTTGTGAAATTGGACTTCACCAGTTTCTGGATAGTTAACACTGCTGTGAATGCTGGTAGTTCGACCTGGCTTGGTGTCGTGGTTGGTTTTTGCGATTTTCCCTGTATGTAACATAAATATGAGTCAGCTTCCCTCGGAAGTTCGCCCACAAAGGCATCTATCCTCTTAGACAGATAGGTCAGCTTATCATTTAATGTTGTTCAAATTTTTGTAATTACTACTGTTTCTCTCTCTAGCATCTCTTTTAATTATGTAACTAGAAAAATAAAAGAATTTAATTTCCATTTTAAAAAACATAGGATTGAATGTTATATGATATTGCATGAGGAAAATAGTTTTGTGCAGCTGAATTGTGAACAGATGAAGAGTTTTAACTTTATAATTAATTAGCAAAATTTTATAGCAACTTAATTAGCAAAAATTTATTGCTGATTGCAGTTTCAATTCAGTTCGGTCTAACTTTATTAGAATGCTACCGTTCTGATGGTTAATGCAGTAGAAGCTGGTGAAGGAGAAAGAATAGTGGGAGTTTTAAAGAGATGAGTTGCTAAGACTTCCACTTCAAGCATTATAACTTCTGCCATCACCACTGTAACATTAATAAATAAAGTTGGACTGACTTTCCAATAAGACTGTAATCAGCGATAAATTTTTCCTGATTTGCATTAATTTTTTCTTTGAAATTCTTCACTTGTTTACTGTAATTTAATTAACAATTAATAACTAGTTGTTCAGTTCATATGCTATTGTAAGAGTTTGACAACTTTTAATCACAGAAAATTCAGCAAATAATGCATTTACTTTCTTCAAGTTTTTACATTTTGCTATTAAATTTATTAAAAAATTTTATGAATTTAAAGATTTTTGATATTCTAAAACTGATTAATTAAACAAGAATAAAACAGTAATTAGCTGCCATTACTTTTACATATTTGTTTTGTAGAGTCATTGGGTTTTTTTTTTTTTTTTTTTTTGGGAAGCAAGCAAAATGAAAAATGAGCAAACGCCTTCGCCGGGAATCGAACCACGGACCTCTGGAATACCGGCCCAGCGTGCTACTGTTACACCATCAAGGCACGCTAGGGAAGTGGGAGGAATACCTTATAGTTTCACTTGTTTCAATGAGGAATTTTTTGTTGAAAAAACCTATACCATACACAATAAAAATTGTGTATGGTATAGGTTGTTTTGAAATTAATACATTTATTTAATAAATTATAAAGCATTTACATTCATATTAAAAAGGACTCTGATTTGGAACATTTTAAGTATCATAAAGATTAATGAGTTTAAGAGATAAATGTAAGTTGGGACTTTAAATCATTATTCAGTGCTTAAATATTCAGAATTATTGTATTTTTGATTTTAAATGTAATAGCTAAAGAAATAAATAGAAAATACCAAATAATTTTTCATGATTAAAAATTTATAATGTAAAAAAAAAGTTTTTTTTTTTTTTTTTTTTTTTTTTTTTTTTTTTCAGCATAAAATTGTTATTGAATGATTTCTTTTCTTTGAATTCACAAGTTTATATAATTACATTACAAATCAACCTGTCAGAAAAAAAATGAGTTGTTGAAATAATAAGAATAGAATAAAAAAATAGAGATATCATATTTTAAATGATGGAAAGTTTAAAATACAAATTTTCAGATAATGTAGCAGCAGCATAACTAAAATCATAGTAGGGGTATAAAAGTGTGTGTTAAATTATTTTTTTTGAGTGGTTTAAAATGTCACAGAAAAGGAAACTGGCATAACTTTTATGATGAACTCGTGATGCTATGTTGTGGAAGCGTTATATTGAATAGATAATTTGCACTAGGGTCTGTGGTCAAGGAACTGAAGTTGCAGATAAATTGAAAGCTAGCTGCTTTTCAGAAGTGCAGCAAATTAAAACCCAATGGGTGATATTTTACATTAATAGAACAAGTAAAAATAAAAAACTGTTTATTGGTTTGACACTAATCTTCACCACTTGTTTTCAGTGCATTTGCACAATACTATGCACAGATTAGAGTGACAGCTGACTTTTTTTAGGCCTATTATTTTAAAAATATTCCACTTACCCATTTGTTATGCACCTCACAGTGGCTGTAGCTGTAAGCTATTAATCAATGCTATCTATATAGAATTGCTAATATAAAATGTTTTACAGAAAATATTTGATGTAGGACGGTGCTCTACCTATCTCCAGATATTTTCTGTAAAATATTTAGATGCATGTGGGAAACAGTTTCAAGATTTTCCATTTGCGTGACATCTCCACTTTCCTGAATTAATGTTGATGAACTTCAGTCTCTTAGGTTATCTTAATTCTAGGGTCTATGAAGATATGTCAATGAATGGTTGAAAAAGAAAAGCATTATGAGGAATGCACTGAATATGTCAGCTAATATGCATCATGCAACTTCTTTCTCCATTATTAGATACATGCAGTATATCCTTAATAACAGTGATGGGCATAATAAACATTTATACTCTCATCTACTATAGTTTTTCCTCACTTTTAGTGGTAATTTTTTCCCTATTTTGCTCATCTTTTATTATTTTAATAGTACCTCCATGTGACTATTTAGAAACTGATGTATTTTCTGTTTATTTTATGCACACTTATGCTATTTTGTGATGCCATCTTAAAAATCCCAGTATTTGTATTGGAAGTTTTTGTCATACTGTTGCACTAACTGTAACTAT